CACCCAATGATAAATGTAAATTAACTGTATACCTAAAATGTACCAATAAAATGTACCAATAAAATTAATTAAAAAAAAGATGTGGTTTTTTTATACAATAGAATACTGCTCTGCCATAAAGAAAGATGAGCTTCACACATTTATAGCTAAATGGATGGACCTTGAGACCATACTCTTAAGTGAAATAAGTTGACACATATGTTTTTGTGCTGCATTGTTTCTCTGGTGTGAGAAACCAAAAATTGAAATAAGGACTAAAATTGGGGAGATTGGATCAGTACTGTCTTCCAATTCTGGGCACTAATGCTATTCTTTAATTAATTTGTTATGAAATTTTGCTTTTTCATAGATGTATGAAGACTATTTCTAAAAAATATTTTCTTCATTAATATCTACTTGTATTGCATTGAAATAAAGTTTTTAAAAAACAAAAAACATGTAGTTGATAGATAAGTACTGAAAATATTTTACCTTTAAGAAATAGTTGAAATAGCATTTCATTATCCATAAGTTTTTCATTAATAAAATAGCTTAATTTCTCACATAGAATTTTAAAATTATCATTATATCTCCCAAATTTCTTTCTATGATGTCATTTACTGTTGCCTCAATCAATGTTAAATTTTGCCTGAAAAAGAAATTGAAGGTTTTTATTTATGTCTTCAATTTAAAAAAAATCTTTAAATTGCCAAATTAAAGTTTCAAGTGAAACTAGGTCTTTTAAAAAAATAACTGTACTATTTATTATAATGTAATAACTTTAACAGTACAAACTAGATTGTGTGAGGCTGAGTGAAAATTACTTTGCATTTAATTTTTGCCAATTCATTCCAACAAATATTTATTGACTATTTATATACTCCGTACTGTTCTAGGCACTTGAAATAACTCAGAACAGAAAAACAATAATGATCCTTGACCATGTAGAACTTAAATTTTAGTTAGGAATCAGAAAATAATTGGTGAATTATGTGGTGTTTTTTAAAGTATTGTTAAAACAAAGTTTTTAAAAATTAAGATAAAATAATAGGTTGTATACAAATACAAAGTGAATGCCTGTCAAAGATTCTTTTTTTCCATTTAGTTTATTGGTACATTTTAGGTATACAGTACAGTTACATTCATCATTGGGATCTTGTACCTTTACATGATGTATCTTGGTTCTTATTTTTTCCCCATTTTCTTGCCCTCCCTTCGTCAAAGTTTTTTTTTTTTGGTACCAGAGATCGAACTCAGGACCTTGCGATTTCGAGGCAGGCGCCAGAACCACTGAGCTAAATCCCCAGCCCCTTCAAAGATTTTTAAAGCTCTATTTAATGAGGAAACAAATAAGATATAACTGGTTCAAAAAGTATATCAAAGAACCACGTTTATATTCAGAAAAATGAATACTAAAAATTTACAAATATATATAAATACTAGTTAATTGTCATAGGACAATTATATCCCATTGAATAGAGCTAATTTTTCTTTCTATGGCAAGAATCATTTGCATTGCTTTTTATTGTATCTCTATGGCTAAGAATGATTTGTATTGTTGTTAAAGTTCTACCATTTATGGACTTGTAAAGTAAAATTGCTTTGTCATCTGAAAGGGAGAGGACTTTATCAACAAGGTTAAATTATTATGTTTCATTTTGATTATTATAAAAACAAAATATCAATTGCACCACACTTAGAAGACTTTCTTTTTGTTATTGTTGTTGTTCTGGAAATAAGATTTTGACTCTGGTCATTGTAAAACTTAATATAATTTATTATTTATAACACTGTGCTTATATAAGAGGAATCTAATAATACGGAACTCAAGATCCAATCATTACATTTAGATGTTTTAAAATAAAATTGTTTTCATTTATTTGTTTCTTTTCTTTTTTTGGTACTGGGGATTGAACTCAGGACCTTGTGCTTGCACAGGGCAGAACCACTGAGCTAAATTCCCAGCCTCATCTATTTATTTCTTAATCAATAGATTGGGGCTAGGTTTTTGGTAAAACTTGAAATACTACTTCTCATTAATTTGCTTTACCAAATGTATTCATGAAAGTTCTTTTTCATGTTTCAGATGCTGGGAGCTTAGTGCTGGAGACAAGTGGATTTATCAGGCCCCAATCTTAGCAGCCATTGGGGTAAGTTTTAAAGTTTATACAGTCAAAAAAAAAAAAAGATAAAAAATTAAACTGCTGTTAAAACTCAGAGGAAGTTTGTCTCTTCATAATAGGTTAGGAAACTCACAAGTACCGTAATAGGTATTGGGAAAGTCAAAGTTGTGGAATAGATTCTTATTTATGGTTGATATTGAGATCCATGCAAGAAAACGGATCATACTTGTTGTGGTTTATATCTAGATGTCCCTCATCAACCTCACGTGGTCATAGGTGGAGCTTTTCAGAGGTGGCTGGATCTAGAATGCAAATGTCCCAGGGACAGCTCTGAAACTTCAAAACATCCATGAACATTTGTATGTACAGAGAGTTAGAAGGTCCTGAATCTTTTCCCCTTTTCGTCCATCATATCTCCACTGTCTGATTATCTAGTAGTAAGTTGGGCTGGTGGAGAGGGAAAGATAGAATGGCAGAACAGAGAAATTGCTGAGAGAGAAGAACAGTGCTGTCTTAGTAACTTTTTTCTCATTACTGAGACAAAATACCCTACATCCAAAGTTAAAGGAGGAAAGGTTTATTGTAGCTCACAGTTTGTAGAGGTTTCAGTTCATAGTCAGGTGGCTCCAAGGCAGGGTGGAGTGGCAGAGGGGCATCACAGGCAGGCAGGAGGCAGGAGCAGACAAGCAGCAAGCAGCAAATAGCAAGTGACAGCAGCAACCCCTTTGTGTCCCTTATATTCCATCCAGGATACTGGGCAGGTAGCACTCACACCCTGGGTGGGTCAGCCTTAATCCTACCATCACACTGTGAATCAATCCTAGCATCACATCCTTAATCCCAGTATCACACACTCTAGATACAGCCACCTCTGAAAAGCTCCACCTATGACCACGTGAGGCTGAGTGGTGGTGGGGGGATCTAGATATAAGCCATAACAAGCATGATCCATTATAAAGTATTGCCCAAAGCTTTTAATGGGTGCATTCCCCCCAAGCAGTTAAGTGAATTCTATACCAAGAAATATCCTGTAGAATCCTGTTTAATAGGTAGTGGGGAGGAAGGCTAGAGTTGGCAGTGGGTATTACACAGGACCTTGTGTGCCTATTATATTTCTATTGTATATTGTGCTTGTGTTAAAAAAGAAAACACATTTAGACATTGTATCTACCAAACTCACCAAAATGTTAACTCCTAACCTTTCTTGAAAACTTTACAGCATCAGCTTTTCTGTGGTTCTGTGAAGAAAGTATACTATCTTGTGTTTTCCAGATGTTCATGTAATATAAGATTATAAGCACCTTAAAAATAGGATTAATATCCTCATACTAAATGCTAAATCATTAGAAAATAATTTAACATTCATTGTTTATTAATTTGTCTTCCTTTGTTCTCCAGTTTCTTGTTTTTCTTATTTTGTTTTCTTTTGAACAGTGTGTCACTTGCTTTGTGAGCATATTTGTAGGCGGGATCCAGAGGGAGAGCTATTAATCTTCTGGAAGTTTTGTAGGATAATCCCTAAAAGCAATTAGAAGCTTATTTACCTCTTAAGAAAATTTTCAACAGAAAACTAGAAGAGATTAAAAAAAATCTTCAGTTTAGAGACCCAGTATGTAAATGTTTGGAGGGAGAAAGAAAATTCAGAGCACTATTAGAAAAATCAGTTTTATCCTTGCTAAAATATCTGGTTGTCAAGCTAGACCCAATCCCCTGTGTTTTAGGAGAAGATCAACAATGGGTTAGGGATGAATGACTTAAATTTATTAACTCTTACAATTTAGGTTTTTAATGAAATGAAATGCTGTTCTGTTAACATAGTGATAAGCCATCTGGGAACTGCAGCTATTTCTATGAAAGAGAATCAGTGAACTTAAAGTTGAGAAATAACTTTATAAAATAGGATCTGGCATTTACTACTCTGATTTCCCTTTTATTCATTAGAACTCTCTCCTTATCTTTATGTCCAACTCATTTATTTTCCTTTTTTCTAGTTTCTTCTCTAGCTGATTGCTCCTTTATCCTTGTTATTATCTTTTTAGGGAGACGATCTCTGAACTTTTTTTTGTGTCTTCAGTAACCTTTTCTGGGATAGATATATGAGAGACACTTGAGGCTCTTGACCTACATTTATAGTGATTAAGTTTGATTTTTTTAATCTTATGAAAAAGAGAAAACCTGTTAAAATCCAAGAGATCCTTTCAAAATTGTTGGGAATTGAAGCACAGGGCAGTACAGACAAGTAAATCATACAGTATTTTCCATTGAAAGAATTGATTCTTACTCAAACTTCTGTTGTTTGTTTATAGATCTGACTCAACATGAATGAAAGTTTTATTTGCTGAGATTTCTAAATCACAATGTAAAGCAGTAGAGTTAGGTGATTAAAGAGCGTCTAAAAGATTCACCGTTCATGAAAGAGAACTAGAAATGATAGTGTACTCAGTAAGTTTGAAGAAAGCCTAGGTAGAAGGCCATTTTCATCTTGAACTAAAATTATCATAGCTATGAAACAAGAATCCTTAAATACATTTGCAATATTACAACATCCATTTAACCTGAAAAATTGTAGAAAGGAATGAAGAGCATCTTTCTGGTCTTTCTTTTTTGTTTCATTGTTACAGTTTAGGGTTATCAGAATTCCCTTGAAAGTTCATAACCTGCTAATATATCTGAAAAGTCTCATAAAATGTGAAAAATTGGACATGAAATTAATATTCACTTATTTTTATCATTAACTTAGAGAAGGTTGAGTTATGAAAGAGAAAAAACTAGAAAGCCCAAGGGAAAGAAAAAGTAGAATTACAAAGAGAAATATCTGAGACACACGAAGATAAACCCCAAGAGTAGAGAGCATCCAACAACGAAAGCCCTGTGTAGATAGTTGTATTGGTAATAAAATTGCCAGTGGCAATGGCTCAGAAGATCATCTGAAAGCACATGCAGAAATCCTGGAGACGCTGGAATTAGAAGACATATAGTAAACTTGGCAATATATTTTAAATCTTGAATTCCAAGGACAGTGATGATTTTACTCGAAATTCCAAAGACCAGTGTTATAGGCAAGACTGGCCTTCAGGAAAATTAAGGTCATTCAATGTTTACTTTGGAGGAAAGTAGTGAATGGTGGGCATATTCATTTATTTGTTACTGTGGATTGGGAGCAGATGGGAAAGAATCGTGATGGGTCTGACTCAAGGGTGTGGAACAATGTAAAAAACTGAGGCTGAAGAAAGGGCAGAACCCGAATCTTGAAGGGGCTCATGGGCCTCACTAAAAGATTAAGACCTCATCCACAGAGTGGTAACAACCAAAGTTTTTCACACTAGAGAGGAATGGAACTAGATTTCTTGTTCATCAAGTCCCAGGGCTTGGTTCAGATTGCCCGGTTGGGCAACCAGATAATATTAGGTGCCTTCCAGGGGAGAGTTTAAGTCAGAGTGGTCATGAGTGGACAGGACATGAGCCTGAGAGAGTGAGGAGGCAGAGACAACGTAGAACCTGGGTTTGAAATTCTGGGCACTTTCCCTTTAGGCTTGGAATCAATTGTCCTTATTTCCATGACTTGGTCTGTTGTTTCTCCACCCAACTTCATGTCACATCACCTTCCCTCTGTGCTACTTTAGCTCCAGACAGTGGTTTTCTTTTAGTTCTGTGAACATGCTACACTGTTCCTCACCTCAGGGCCTTTGCTTGGGCTATTCTGTCTGCCTGTTCCTACTGCCTGTCACTTGCCTTATGTCCATCCTCCTTTCCAGTCTCAGTTTATGTCACAGTAATTAAGAGCATAGTCCTGGGTCTGCCCTGAAATTTTGTTACTCAGGCTGGCCTTGGAAAAGCTGTTTAAACTCAGCATCCACTTTTGCTCTTTGTAGAATGGAGATGACAGTATAGGTCACATGAGTTAATAATTGGATTCATTAGGAACACTAGATGGCACATAGCACAGAGAACATTTTAGCTATTATCATTTCTATTTTTCATGTGTTAATGACTTGCCAGCAACCCAGGCATACACCCTGACACGTTATCATAAAAATATCTCTATACAGCAATAAAAATAATGTGTTTCTAGACAGTAGTAATGCTAACACTTGTGTCTTGTGTATAGATGAATGCCTTCTTCGACCTGAAGGGCTTCCCAGGGACTGTCTGGCTTCCTGATTCCATAGTGCTCCACCTCGACACCCTGAGGACTTGTGCAGATGCCTTTCTGGTTATAGAATGGCCTCGCTACCTGTATCCATGAGGGCCACCATGCCATTAGTTTGACCATTTTTTAAAAAATGATAAAGCCATCTACCAAAATACGATATAAATATTATCTCTTATTGGTATGATTAGGGGTTACTTTTACTCTTGCTAGTAAACATTTTAGTAATACATATGTTTGCTATTAGAAGGTTTGACTCTGCAATCAAGAAAATAGATTTGAAAAAAAGTCATCAAGCTCTTTTTGTAATATTTTTTTCGGTAAACTACAATTCAGTTTTTATTAAAAAACCTCCACCTTTAATCTTTTTGCTCAAGATTGCTTTGGCTATTTGAGGTCTTTTGCGGTTTCAATGAATTTTAGGATTTTTTTTTCCACATCTTTAAGAATCCAGTTGGGATTTTGATAGGGACTGCAGTAAATCTTCGGTGGGTAGTACGGACATTTTAACAAGTTAATTCTTCCAATCCATAAACATGGGATATCATCTCATTTATCTGTGTGTCTTCTTTAAATCTACTTTTTGGTATTTTATAATTTTTAGTTTATAAGTCTTTTACCTATTTGGTTATGTCAATTCCTACATATCTTACTCACTTTGTTGTTAGTGTAAATTGAATCATTTTTCTTAGTTTCTTTTTTTGAGAAAATAAGTTTTCCTTATTGTTTGTGCAAATTGGTAAACATTTTAGCAGCTTTTGGCATCTTCTTCAAGGAGGAAAGTGCTCACTTTCCATTTCTCCTTGGAGATACCAGGTTTTTTTCTTAGATTTCAGGTTAATTGATCATCTTGCAACTTTGCAATTTTGGTGAACTT